GTGTTTATTCGGAACCATCGTAGTCAGAAACAGGGCTTATTCCCTGACCTCGGCGGGTCCCGTCGTGCGCTGTGGCTGGTGGCGCCAGGCTGGTGGCCCGAGAGATATATAGGTGCGATTGCGCACCAAGCGGGTCAGTTCCTTCGCAGTTAGCCCACGTGCCATAGAGGTTTCAGCACTGTCCTGGTTAGTTTCAGTTGCTGTACAGTTTTCTTCCACCGCTCCCACACAATCTATGGCGGAGAACTACTAGGCTGCACCCGTGCTGAAGGGACCGGGGGATCTTTAGACTTAATATGAATCATCTGGGGACGAGTTTACACGGGGGAACTCCATCCACGGGACGGAAGTCTTACAGGGAATTTGGTGGAGGTAAAACAGGCTGTGCCCGTAGCTTAAAAATGTATAGGGACCACGACCTGTATAGGGGCCAAGACCTGTCTAGGACATTGGCAGGGGCAATGGAGGTCGCATCGTTAGTAGCGCCTGGAGAAATGTGAGTTATTATTAAACCAGGGCCAACTTAGGCAGACGCGTTCGTTTGTGTCTGTTGTTGTGCCCCAGTGTACCACCCTGTCCTGTACCCCAGTGCGCGCCTGTGCTGCTCTCCTGCTGCAACTGGCGTTAGACTACCCCAAAACAGGCCTGCTCTCTTGGCTGCCTCAGACTAGACCACTCGCTGACGTCGGCCGAGGACGACCTGGGGGTTGTATCCGCACGACCATCACAATAGTTTGGAGTTTTCTGAACGTTACAATACATGTACACATCTTAACTATCCCTTAGCGAGAGAAAGGAAATGGGGCATGTAACATTACACTTAATCCAAGTGAATGGATCTTCCAAAACTGAACAGCAGAGGGAACATTCGTTTTACTTGTAGCGCACTTCTTTGATTTGCTTTGGCTTTGCAAAGGATGTACAAGGATAACAGCAGTCAACGGCCGTTCACATTAGGGGAAATGCAGTTGGTGTGTGAAAGTGTTGCTTGCTAACATGGTCAAGGTCGTGTTGTGCTTTTTAGGTCTCAAGCTGAGGACCTGAGGGTGTTTAACTCCGCTGAAATAAAGAAAACCAAAAGGTCTGTGACGCTGTCATAATCAGGAAAACAAAATGATTGACAGGTCAAAAGGGCAAGCCAGGTGCGACTCCGGATGATTCTGCGCATTTGGGTAACATTCACAGCGGAGACGCTCTTGCCGGGTGTGAGGTTCGATTGACGACTTGTACGTTAACATGTAATGTGCCGGGTACCTACGTGTTCATATTTTCAGCACTCAAGCAGCAAACTCTATGTTCATCTCAACAAAACAACGACCAAATTGTCTGTTCTGATAGTTCTTATTCATCAGGCCACACTGAACAAGTATCTTGGAGTGCAGTTCTGGTTTTGCAGCGAGGGGACTTCACGTTTCGACCATGTACAGTTTGAGGTACAGTCACCCAAGCCTTCACAACAAATCTTTCTCCTGTACCTCCCAGAACAAACAGCGACGATGTGTTGCTCTAGAGTCTGCAAAACAATTGTGGATAAATTCCAAAGGAGAACAATGTGGAACAAAGACATTTCATAGCTTGTATTTATTTCATTATTTGTATTCTTTATCTACTCCCAAAAGGATCTAATGTGTCTCTTCAATTGCACCTGACAATTTCTTGTACTCTTGCTGTTGATGATATTACCTCAACAGTATTTGTATACTAAAACAGCCAATGAGGTATACCTTAAAGTTATACCTTGTTTTGTTTGTACTAGCTTCAATCTAAATTGCTCATTTCCCACAACAAATCAGAAGCCCTTTTTTTTCTTTTAACATTATTTGACTGACGATATGATGAAAATACACGAATAGAGTCTAAAATGCCAATTACGTTTACTTTTTGTAGCAATGCTAGCAATGAAGTTAGGGATAAAGTGCAAAGGAATTAAAATTAAAGAAGTGCAAAGAAATTTAAATTTTAACTACTGTTACAATATGATAAACTCGGAGACTTTTTTGCCAGTTTTGATATATATGCCTACCAATTGCTTGAAAAAACTATTACTCGCCGTCTTCTTCAAAATAAATAGTAATCGTGGTAATACGTCAACGAAATAAGGTCGGATTTGTTACACTAAATAATCAATGCTGTTAAACATCAATTCACAATGTCTAATCCTCTGACTTTAATCGGTGGCACAGCTACCGGGGGGCAGATGCCTGTACCCCCAGTTCCACCATTAGAAATCTGTGCATTTTCTCCTTTGAAATGCGGCTGCAGCTCAGGTTCACTTTTCATTCTTGATAAAGAAAAAGTGGTGAGACATTTATGACTTTGACCATTCATACATACAGGAAGATATTGTTTTGACAAAGAAAGGTTTATTTAGCTGAAGGTTTTGTTGTTTAACAGCCGCTGATGTGAATTTGTCAGTGGGTGGTTAATCTGTACGTAGTTTTTTTTTTATACAAGTTGACTTCGTAGTCGCTGCAAAGCAGCGTAACTAAATAAACTATAAAAGGTTTTTTTGTAACCCTCAATGGGAAAGCCTTGCTGAAAATTAAATTGTCATTAATGTGCAAGGTTGCTCCAGATGTTATTTACTGTGCTGAGAATCATTTGTTTTAAAAATTAACAATGATAACATTCATCTAAACGCCAGCCTATATCGCCAGTTTTCTTCTGAAAGATTTAGCTTTGTGCAACTTTTTGGAAAATACTTCAATCACACAGCATACACGCTTTGTGTCAGTTATACTCTACAAGCCTTGAAAAGCAAAACATGCTGACTAGTCTTATATTATTTTGATAGCACAATTACGATCAAAGTGTTTGGATGTGAGTTAGGCCAACCATTTTTAGATGTTAATGCATCCAATTTGTTTATCCAACAAAGTCTTGAAAAAGGCATGAATTTGAAATGCAACGCATGCATGGAAGCCGTTTGTCCATCGGATATTACGGATGCCCAGGCAGACTTGAGCCAGTTTTATTTTAGGGACGTTTACGCAAATTGCTGGTGAACGACGGGCTGCAATTTGAAGACAACAATGGTCTAGTTTAGTCAGAAATCAGTGAGCCTGGTAAACACTTTTGTAATACAAAGTGGAAGAAGTCCAGATATGTTTGTCAAAATCTAAAATAAGCTATTAATTAAAAGCTGAGCAAATTTGAATAAAAAATACATTTTCTTTTGCATAAACATTGTTTGATGACTAGATAACGAAAATAAGAATGTCAAAAACTCGCCTTCTGATGCTTTTGTATGTGTCTCACTTTTTTGAAAGGGGGCTATTCTTTCCAGCACTGGTATGAATGCAACCCAGGAAAAATATGGATGTGCATATTTTAAGAAGCTCTGATTGCTTTGGACAAAGAATGACAACTGTCTTCAAATTTATGTGTTAAAATCTTTGGTTCTATATTCTCGTTTATTTACACCACCAAGTTACCTCGGTAAATTGGGTAGAATATTCAAACCGATCCTTACCTGAGAAGCTATAGCGTTTGCCAAACCTGAAAGACAGTGTGGCACAGCACTCAGCTAAGAGATCTTGTCTAGATGTGGTGCATTTACCAGAAACCCCTTCACCCGTGACTTCTGAAGCACTAACTAGAAATCATAAAAAGGGAGAATACCGGTGAAAGTTGGACTGCTGTCAAATATGTGATGTTGGAATAGAAACGTAAAGATAATAACAGTGCCTGGCATTGTTTATTATGCCTCTACATCTGTTGGTGCTCCCATGCAATTCATCATGCAGAGTCAGATCATGCACACAAAAAATAGTCCTTGAGCCTAGGGCTCAAATTTCACATATCGGTACCATCTCGTGGGACTAATTCTCATTATAATTTTTCTTTGCTTGATATGTATAAATGTCAGAAAAGTGTGAGGGACTTTTGTAAGTGGTAGTTTAATGCAAAATTCGGGACGTTTCCTATGACGTCACTGATTGAGCTAGAGCTGATCTTCTTGAATCAAATACCTGATGCAGTTGCTCGATGTGCCTTTAAATTTTCAAAGGCTACACGATACATTCTATTGGCCAAGGCATGAACAGAAAATACATGTAGATTCAATTCCATGAAGTTGTCCAATTAGTAATCTTGATTAACAATATATATCATTTTTGATGCATTTAGGCTTCCCTGTAACAAACTAAGAAGCCACTCAGGGTTAGAGGATAAAAGGCCAAAGGGGGCTAAATTTGATGGCGACCTAGTGGATCTTTCCCTGTACTATTTGCTACAATTATTTTTATTTCTTTTAACTGACTGATTATAAATACATTAACGGGAAAAACTTTAATTGAATTCCAAGTTGGATTCTGTGTCTGGTGTGTTCTTGTCGTAGGCTTTCTCAGTATCATCATCATATTGTATGTTGTCACAAGTTTGGAGCCTACACATTGCAGTGCATCTCAGCCCGTTGACAAGACACTCGCAGTCCGGAAGTTTACAGACTCGTTTGCAGTTGCAAGGACAACGTCAGAAGATGGGGATTCCGTTATCCAGCAGATTGGAAGGCTGTCATTTTCGTCACCCCAACCATGGCCATAGGTGGGACTTGGAATGCTGGGAAAAGATTCCAAGCTACAACGCCATATTGCCGACTGGTAGTTTGCCCTTGAAGCATGCTTGTGCAAACAATCTGCACACGGTGGAAGCTGACTAGAGTCGGTTTTCCCTTTCTTCGCCACGAACAACTGATGTCTCATTTGGTTAACATCAGTTGTGTTATATCCAGCAACATACATGTCATAGATGAAATCTTGAAGAACACTAAATAAGCTTTTGGACAGCTCCCATTCTGCTCGTAGCTGAGTGAAGGGCTCTGGATAGTTTGTGTTTTTCATAATTAGTTTCAGGGCATTCAATTTCCCCTTGCCTCCAAAGGCACTCACTGTGTCACAGCCAGTGAAGGATGTATACCTGGCAATGACCTACAGACACTTTGACCCAGAGTGAGAGCAANTTTGATGACTAGATAACGAAAATAAGAATGTCAAAATCTCGCCTTCTGATGCTTTTGTATGTGTCTCACTTTTTTGAAAGGGGGCTATTCTTTCCAGCACTGGTATGAATGCAACCCAGGAAAAATATGGATGTGTATATTTTAAGAAGTTCTGATTGCTTTGGACAAAGAATGACAACTGTCACTTCCCCAGCTAAATGTGCAACTTCTAACAATCCTGTAACTTAACTTTGACGAAATAATGTCAGTTTTATGACTCTACATTGATAAGCCCATGCTTGAACTCTGGTGTGTGTGTGTTGATAGGGAGAGCTACATCAATGACGTCCCTGACATTTAATCGTAAACTTTGTTTCATGGAGAAAAATCCAGCACAAGGTATTTAACAATTCAAACTTTATCCATGTCTTACCTGATATGTCTTTGCTGTAAATTGTTCTACCCAGGACGGTTAGTTTGATGTGAAGGCCAAATGCTTTTGTAAGAACCTTGACGGAAGCACACACTTCAATGGAATAAAATAAAATAATCACCGAATTTTATTCATAATCGTACAGTATTATAAAAGGGACTAAACTTTGAATAGAGCTAATATGGAAACATGCTCCTTCTACTAAATAGGGTAAACCTTTTAATATGCCTTCCAAAAATATGGAGTGGCAGACGTTTTGATCCAAGCAGAATCTTTCTTGAAGCCCCCCCCCAAAAAAAAAAGAAAGTTTGTTTTTGTCTGAGTAAGATTATGCTAGGATCTAAACATCAGGACCTCCGTATTTTGAGATCTGTATTTTAGGTCATTGTAGTCAGCAAGCAGTTTGCAGCGGTTTCGTGTTACATGTCTTTGCAATATAAAAAGAGTAATCGTAACGAAGTACATATACCACAAAATGTGAAGCACACTACCAAAATACCATGTACTTATGGGTAAGCTGATTTGCCATCCCAGACGTTTTTTCAACAGTTTAAAAATTGTATTTTTGGAATCCACGGCCAACGCACTAAATTTATAAAGAATAATTCACATCAACTTTTGACCAATCGAAATAAGTATCACTTCAAACGTGATTGACATTCGTAGAGCAAGAATTAGAATTGGCTGACCGTCTTTTGTATGTAAAATAGCAAACCAAGCCAAATGTGCACCACGATGTCCACGCAAAGGGCATTTCGACATCTGAGACGGATTGCTTAGCATGGAAACAGCTGGTCTTCAAATTTATGTGTTAAAATCTTTGGTTCTATATTCTCGTTTAATTACACCACCAAGTTACCTCGGTAAATTGGGTAGAATATTCAAACCGATCCTTACCTGAGAAGCTATAGCGTTTGCCGAAACTGAAAGACAGTGTGGCACAGCACTCAGCTGAGAGATCTTGTCTAGATGTGGTGCATCTACCAGAAAGCCCTTCACCCGTGACTTCTGAAGCACTAACTGGAAATCATAAAAAGGGAGAATACCGGTGAAAGTTGGACTGCTGTCAAATATGTGATGTTGGAACGGAAACTTAAAGATAATAACAATGCCTGGCATTGTTTATTAGGCCTCTACATCTGTTGGCGCTTCCATGCAATTCATCATGCAGAGTCAGATCATGCATACAAAAAATAGTGCTTGAGCCAAGGGCTGAAATTTCACATATCGGTACTTATTGTGGGACTAATTCTCATCATATTTCTTTGCTAGATATGAATAAATGTCAGAAAGGATTGAGGGACTTTTGTAAGTGGTAGCTTAATGCAGAATTTAGGACGTTTTCTATGACGTCACTGATTGAGGTAAAACTGGTCTTCTTACATCAAATACCTGATGCAGTTGTTCGATATGCCTCTAAATTGTCAAAGGCTACACCATACATTCTATTGGCCAAGGCATGAACAGAAAATACATATATATATCTCAATCAGTGACGTCATTCCCTGTATTATTCACTACCATTATTTTAATTGTTATTTTTGTTGACTGATTATAAATACATTCCTCCTGTCTGCAACTTCAGTTGATACTTAGGATGTGAGATTATAGTATTTGCTTCCACATGCGTCATACAGTGTGTTATTGCCAAGTTTTCCCCTTAATTGGAGTTTCTGCCAGTCTCTTACAAGATAGTTGACGAGATTTGTTTTGCCTTTGGAAGATTACAGAAGAGGTCTCCACTGTTTGATCTCCTGACCATCAGTAATATTGCTGAACAGGCTCATTTCATCAATAATGTAAGTTGATGGACGAGGTATTGATTCTGCTGGTGTTTTGCATTCTTCTCAAGATTCCTTGCCAACGCTGCCTTGTTAGTCTTCTCAGGGGTTCCATCACAGTTAGCTGAAGACCCTAGTATTGGTATTGGCCCTCGTGGATGCTCCAGTACTTTTTTCCACCTGAAGACCTCTACCTGTTGAAATTAGCAACATTTGGCCAAATAGCTTGTGGTCTGCCTTGAGAAAGGTCTCCTTGTCTAAGGCTCTTACTTTTTCTGTTTCCTCAAATAACTGAATGTTTTTAATTGCTGCTTCTTGAGCCAGTCCTGGAAGTTTTGTGACTGCTTCTGAGTGCGTTCTGTATGGAATTGTTGGTATGCAATTTCTCCAACTTCACTGGCTCGTTGTAGATCTTTTGAAACCTGAGATGAAGCAGCGGTGCCCGTGGAAATACTGATCAGGTCTGAAGGGTTGGTGTCAAATGGATTATTCCACTCAGTTACCATCAGGTTATTAAGGCACTGTACATCAGATTCATCTTGGCAGATGCGTTTTTTTTCTCCAGACATTGATGCCTGTGTATCTATTATCAAACGCAGTTGTTCCAAGCATGTTGCTCTGAACTCAGCTGTGAGGTAATACGTGCTCACAGTAGCTGGCTTGAGACTGAAACCTTTTGTCTTTCCTGCAGTTTGTGTGTCTTTATTTGCAGTTTCCTCAGTCCTGATCAACAGGAATACTACCAAAGGGGTTCTTGTCTGCTATCTGCACAGAGAATGCCCCATTTACAAGCTGAGTGTGAACTTCTGGATTACCTTCTGGCAGTCTAGACATGTCTGTATAGTACACAGACAAATATCGGCTGTAATTTACTTTGTCTACTATTTAATTCCATGGTGCAAAGCACCAAGAGAGTAATGCACGGACATATGACAGATGGAAGTTGCAGATAGTATGACATGCACCCATTCTCAGTACAATACTACTGAACTTGCTTGGGTGTTTCAGCTGCCTTTGCGTACAGCACTTCGTCAAGGACACAGATAAATGCTGCAAACCAACAGCATCCTTGATCGTTTGCGTCCGGCTTAGGAGTTCATAGACTGTGGGCAGGTCACTTGCTGGAGCATTTATTGTTGGAAGGTAACTTATTGTGTCTTGAGCAATAGCGACCTTATCCCCAGTCAAAATATTAAAACCAGTCCAACCACTGCATTTGTTGATTCTCTACATCTCTTTGGCGGACCAAAGACCAAATCAAATTTTTCAACAACGCTGTGGGTTTAGCAACTTTTCCATCAACATGCAGGATTTTCACTTGTGGTGAGCCAACACGTTCTCCAGCTATGCAAGGTTGTAGCATATTAAAATTAACTGCTTATACTCTTCTTTTAACGATTTTGGTCGGGATCGTCATACTAACGCACACTACTAACACTTCTCACTGCCTCCTCACATTCAAATACGGGCGTGTAGTTTTTCTCTGGCCAATAACTATACAAGCGAACATGACGCCTCAAAGGTGTACGCATGAGCGAGCTTTACGCGGTCTGGACACAAGACTTGTTGATCGTGATTTTTGTGGTCCCTACCAACGACTATTTCATGGTGCCAAATGCGTAGCAAGCGCAGGCCACTAATAGCAGGAATTTTTGAGAACCGTTTCACCTTACTCTATGTAATGTCGTAGAGCGTTAGTATGACACTCCCGTCCCAAAATCGTAAAAGAGGAATACTTACGCTCCACTTAGTAGAGCTAGCCGGTATATATCCTATTTTCTTGCACTAAAACTAAAAGCCGATTAAATCAAGCCCTGAACACTTCTAAACACATAAACTGACCTGTTACTGTTAACCAGTCACTCTTTCATGAAAACCAATAAATACTGTGAATCTGATCGATGTGAACATCGGCACAGCGTGGACAGTCTTCCACGTGTTGAACTACGGCTGTTTCCTGTCAACTGAACACATTTCCTTATCGTATATTTTGATGAATTCTTGAAACAGCCGTCTATTGCATACGCTGAAGAGGCTCTCAAAGCTTTGAAAGTTACCGCTAAAACCTTTCAAAACTATAGTTTACAGCTAATTATTGTTGATAGAGGCTGCAATAAAATTAAACTTCGTTTGCAAAGTTCATAGTGCGGGTACTGAGCGACAAGAGAGTGTAGGTGGAACTGCACATACTTGGGGCGTAACAGAAACCGGCTTCCGTAGCTGGGAGAGTCCAACATCATTCAGGACTAAAAAGAAAACTAGGAAAAAATAACTTCACCGGAATTAAAGTCGACAAGGAGAAACTTGGCGATTTCTTCTGGGGTCATGTCAGCCAAGTCCTCACTGTACAGTTGCAGCAGCTGTTCCTCCTTAGATGACAGACTTCAAGATCGGACTCCTGATTTAAAAAAAGTGCACATGGTCATGAAATATTTGTGATGGGAACAAGGGGGAATGAGGATTGGGGTGAGATATAATAAGGTTATGACTTGCCCAGAAAAAGAGATCTGAAACGTTTGCGGGATACCCTTAAAATCACTGAAAAGCGATCTTGATTACACCGATGTACAGATGTAGTGTGTTTCACTCCTGAAGATCCTTATATCAGTACGATGTTTTAGGCATTTAAAAAAAGTTTTGAGTGCTATTCAAGGAGTTTAGTTCTCAAAATTCTCACAAAAGGTTCTTACATTCGGCTGTTAACTTTATTGCAGAACGAAAAAAACTAAGGCGGGGTCGATTCAATAGCCAACCCCTGTGTCAAAAAGCCCGAGGGGAGATATACCCCTATAACCGAGATTTACGTCTACGCATGTGCAAAAAGATACTCTTATTATTATTATTAGTCCAAGGAGAGTGCATGATGAAAACAAAAGGTGTGATTTTATTGCTACAATACGGCACGGATAACTTTTCGAGACTTCGTAAACACGCTTTCAGACCACTCTTCTCATCCAGTGTCACAGGTAAGAGTTCTACTTGGACAGGTAAGATTTTTACAAATGTTTTCTTTATGGTATCCTAATGACTGATATGAGTGATCATTATTTGTCTTCAAAGCAATAGACAAACGTACTCCAAAACTGTTAAGCGTAATGTATTTGCAAGAATTACTTGCCCCAGACAATGTTAATGAGGCCTGTGAGAATTTCTTATATTGTTAGCAGTGTCGTTATGATAGAGGTTTTCCAAAGTTTGAGTTTTTCACAAGAACAAATTTCCAATGTTGAGCCCTAGAGGGCGCCCTTTGGAATTACCCTCTTCGCATTGCCAAGGAGACGAGGCGCACCCTGGCCGAAGTTATCGGGTTATTATTATTTTATTATTTTTTATTATTTTTTCTCTAACTTTATAACCAAAATGTGGGTTGAATTTACGGATCATATTTTCCCATTTTGGCTGGGCTTCTCTGGACTCACGTGCGATAGTTTTGTTTATTTTTATATTACGTACGGGGACATGCGTCACACGCGTGCGCTGTGCGCGGGTGAACGTGTGGAAATTTTCAGTGACATCCATAGCAACTGAGTTTCGTGCCCGCATGTATGGTGCACACTGATTCATACTTGCTAGTGCAGTGGTTACTATAACATACTTGCATAAACTTTATGAAAGCCCGAGTGTAGAATGGGCCTCATGCTCGTATTTTCTTTCTCCAAACCTTGTCTTAGTTTGTATAAGATGATTCAGGCCTTTAGTATCTGATGCCATAAGAATATTGAGGCACTAGGCCCACGGTTGTTGGGTGAGGCTGGAATTAAGCCCATGCGTACTTTTGAGTGATACCCATGTACAGTAGTGGGAAACACACTTTGACATGTGTATAACCGTATACATCGTGAAATGTTCTCATTTATTTACGTAGTGTCATGTGCAATTGATTTACAGGGATTTAATTTCATCTTGGAATTTTTTTAACCGGCCAATATAGAAACAGGGAAGCTAGACGTTGGTGTCTGTTCTTGACTTTGTAGATCTCCTTACCGGAGGATGCACGTCCTCCACCCTGATGGAACCGTACGGTTTCTTCTTACACACGGAACGCACCGGGCGTCGCCCGCGACCTTACAGTTGTACAATATCAAAATCATCGTGGATAGAGAAATGAATCTATGATTCAATCAGAGAACATAATCTGTACAAAATATGTTAACAATCCAATAATAAATTTGTCTACACAGAGTTAACAAAACAAGTTAAGATTGTGTGCTTATGGCAAAGAAAAAATAAAGGAAATCTTTTAAAGGCACGAGGAAGATTATCGATTCTTTGCTCGGTGAAACAAGTGTCAGTCAAAATCCGTCCTGTTAATGTATCAAATAGGAAGCAGTTTTGTTTTAGTTAACTCTGCTATTTCAACTCCACACTATTGCCGATGGTGTTCCATAGGACTCTGTATAGGGTCCCTTATTGTCATATATTTGAATAAAATATCCTGTCGTCTTTATGTTGATGATATGAGTCTTCCACATCACCATCAAATTGTAAATGCAACCACTGGCAATCTGAATTTAGAACTTGTACGGGGAATGAACGGCTCTTGTTGAAAAGAACGCTCAGTTAATTTACTCAAGAAAAATTACATAATTGTTAGCTCTCCTCAAAATAATTACACACTTAAACACAACATACTTTTTTCTCAGTTGGCGTAATACTCCTTTAAACTAAGTCAAGGGTCCTGGGTGTTTAGCTGTATCAGAACCTCTCTTAGAGTAAAAATACTGACGTGTCGTGTACCGGCGTTATCTGAAACGAAGCTGTTCTGGTGAAAACTATACTTTATTTAGTACACGTAGAACTTTGTCCAATTTAAGTTAGGTTAATTTAACTTTAACTTTTAAATTATATCAGTTAGTGTGTGTTTTGTATTTCAATAAGTCTGGATAGCCCCTTTGAGAGAATTTATTTCTTTCGGCCGATCCTTCGGGAGCTGTTTACTAAGTAGTTATTGTCCTTGTAACCTGTTTTTCCCGAGAAATGAATTAAATGATATGAAATAAATGTTCTTTCCTTAAATTATACCATTCATCCTTAGTTAAATCGACCTTTCAGTGCAACAAGCTGTTTAGTTTGCAGATTAAAGTTGAGCAAAGTATGTCAAAAACAGATTACTCACACAACTCCACTATTTGTGGAGTAAGGAATACAAAATACAAACTAACTTTTTTTTTAATTTTAACTTGGGTAAATGTATTTGTATATACAAACGTGGTCTTTTACTGCGCGATTTCAATGACTGTGTTATAACCGTCCCCTTGTTGCATTCCTTTGCAACTAAAAGTGACCTTGGATGATTATAGTTTTAATTATAACCGTATTTTTTTCAGAAAAGTCTTATTCCAAGATTTGTGTCCTTTTTAGACCAACCTTAATACGGAAACCAAAGTCTCTCAACCCTAAATGCATTTACTCAGAAACCAAAAACCTACATAGTTGTATGATAAAACTTACAACCATGTTCACATGTAATCATGTCAGCCTACTTAAATGCTTCAAATGGTCTGGCTTCAACTGATATCATATCTGTCTTACTGTTGCCTGTCCTTGCAGTGTATCTTATTGTATTGTCCCATATCTCCTATCGTAGGTTTGTGGTCTAGTCTCAATTACTGTTGGTGTAATGGGGAACCCAAAATCACACTGTTTCTTTTTTCCCCTTACTGTTGATAATAAATCAAAGTATGTACAATTACCGAACTTGATAATACGTCAGCTCTCATTGATCGTTATAACACATTTTCTTATATGTAAGCACTTCATATATTTGGGACGTCTTCCGTCACCACATGAAATAAATGAAAGTCATAGTACGGGGGGGATACTTTGTCGTCAGGGGATAGTTAAAATTTTAAATACCGTTTGACCGCACTTGTTTGTGAGAATTAAGGCACTAACAAGTCTTGCAACTGTCGACTAGTCGGGATAATGAATCTTGTGACCCCGCTCTAATACTTAAACAAGGCATAATGTGTAATGGGAAAAAATAACTTGTAGCTGACTGATCAAGCATTCGTTAAAGTGAGAGAGACTAGGTCAATAAAACGTAAAAGATTTTCTTAGAAAATGTGCTTTTGAATTTGCGAAACAAAAATTGAGTTTGACGAACATTTTGAAAACGAAGCATAACTGCGTGTTTTTTTGCAGTAACACTGCCTTTCTTTTGCATCGCGCATCGTAGTCATTCATCATTTAATTAAGGGGTTACAAAATCTTTATTGGGATTTCACTTTGACCTTTTTGTTGCCACTTGTAACAAATGTGCAATCTTGCAAGGTAAAAATTCGTCTTTAACCGTTTATTCTTTTGTGTTTTTGAATCCAGTTTCACTTGCTGCGATGCAAGGTCGAGCATTGTAGTGAATTCCTTCAACTAGTTTCTTTGGCCCAAAAATGCAGCCAGGTGGTTGTAAGTAAAAGCCAGACTACAGTACGTAGAGCATTGTTCTATTCTCCGTAACACTTGAAGCATAACTCGTCCATAAAAGGCCTAGCATTGATAACGCACACACACCCACCCTAGTGTGTAAACGCCTTTAAGCGTTGACTCCCTATTGTTCCTCTTTTTTTCATACTTTAACTTTTCGGAAGACGTCCCTTTCCAACCGTGGACTCTTCGGCAACCGTGGACCCTATTGTCCCCTATTGTTACACGTCCACGATTTGAATACGTATACAAACTCACACACAAGTGTGTATTTGCCTGCAACTGGGGATCCCCTATTGTCCCTCTTTTGTTTGTACTTCAGCTTTTTCAGAAGACCACCCGTATGTTTTGTACACAGGTGTCAATCGGGGACCCTCTGTCAATCAGGGACCATATTGTCCTCTATTGTTCAGGGTCCCCTATTGAATGCAGAAACAAACTCACACCCACACTCTCTTTTTAAAACTGCACTGAGGCAACGAGGTCCAATACCTCAGATTTTCATCCTTCACGGCCGCGTGGGCTGTCACATCGCCAATGCTTTAAAAGAGTACACGTACCGGTTTAGCTAATTGATCATGAGCATTCAAACATATATCAATTTAATTACATATTTCAAAGACGTTAACGATTGTTAATATTCATACGAATACAATACTTATGCTTGACTTGCCGTACCGTAAAAGCACACTGTGGCTCTAAATCACCTGCATATTAAGCGTAATAGGTTGATTCCAGTTTTAAACAAACGGGTAATGGCAAAGGTACCTGGCTGGATTGAGAGTATTTATGTGCACATCTTCCAATTTGTCGGAGAAAACAGATGATTGACAACCTGATGTAAAATATCACTAACAGCAGTTATGAAGTAATGGACCAATGTTTAGAAACAAAGTAAGAACACCACCACCCATTTTAAAGATGTAGCAGTGGTTTAAGACGCTTTGTAAGTCGGTACTCACCATTATGACCGAAGATGAAACCGTCACCAACGCGGCTGCAAGAGCAACCAGCTTCCACATGGTAGTCATTCTCAAATCTTTGAAGTGAAGTCGCTGACTGAAAATGGAATCAAATGATCAGGTGTACTCGAAAGAGAAAATCACCGTGAATGAAAAACTCGTTTTAGAGTGACTTTATATACCTTACAAACCTTAGAAACCTTCCAACTGTTGTTACAGTAAGACTGGTTCAATTGCAGGTCTAAAACAAACAAAAACATTATTTTATGTGGTTGATGTTACAGGGTTTGACTGCAGGAAAAAGCTAATGCAGTCTTCTTTGCTCAGCCATGAACAACACTTGAAGAGACAGACAGACAGACCGACGACGCTATAAAAGTTGAGGCAGGGTAATAATTAACACAGTCGTTATGCCATACCTGCAGAAACTGGCTAGAAAAAGGACAAGTACCGCCTTTAATGACTTTATTAATCAATCTTCATAGTTAACATTCGTTAATGGTGCCCCGAAATCCCAGGGACGGATAGTCTCGAATATGGTTACAAAAGTGCAGTGTACATATCATCTATGTTTTTAGCTAACATTTTTACGAACCCTTCCGAAACACACACACACTCAGAAATGGCTATAATCGAAACCGTTGGAAAACCTGCTGGTACTGGGAATTGAGAGTGCATGGAGCACCCACAAAGAAGAGGCTGTGTGACCTCTATTCAGAAATGTGGTGGACAGAAAGTGGCAAAATGATACCAAAAGAGACAAACATGTCGAAAGAAGAAGCACCGTCTCATTGCTTATTGAGCAGATTGCGTGGTTGGATAATTACTTAGGGTGAGAAACGTGTGCAGATTTGTTTCGTCTGAACAATGCAGTTTGATTGAGCATAAACTCGTGCAAACTACTAATGCACAGAGACAAACATCTTTGATTTCAGCACAGACAAAGCACTTCATTGCACTTAGTAATTTTATACACCCGCTGGAAATCAGCACTGGCGTAAAAGAAAATGTTCTCTTTCTCAGAATGGTTTTCAAAAGACAAAAACGAAATAACTATCTCCTCACAAAGAAGGTTTTAAATGGAATGAAAATACATAGTAAAGAGTCGATTGAGAGAGTCTAAGCGAATCAGATAAACATTAATATTTGAAATGAAAACAACACTTGTTCTTAAGTTTAATTTTAACTGTAGAGGTTACGTTGCCATAGCCTAATCAATTGATTTCTTATTAGTTTTTGAATTTGTATCATTTTGCTGGAGAGGTTGTGCACGGTGACCTTTGCCCACAACTTACTGCGCACGATGCATGTCGTTCTCATCGGCGCGGCAGCTAGCCACAAGTGATGTACTCACGCATAGCTGGGCACGTTTTTAGCGGAGATTCGCAAAATGTGTGGCATGATGTCTGCTCTACGTTGAAAGCTGACAAAAGACATAGTTTTACCAAGTATCAAAATCGCTTTGGTAAGTGAAAGGAACATGTTTGGGTGAATTCAGGGGTCATACTGAGTATGTCAAAAACGAGTACGTGTGCTTGCTCAAAAGACTAACAGCATTACTTGCCATTGTTAAACTTAAAAATCATGTTCCGTATCTCTAGGTTCCTTGTTAAGTGTATGGCCAGCAGGCTGAACCCACAACGGTAAGCTTTCCTGCACTCGGCTGTCACGGCTGTTACGTCTGGTGGAGGTTGCGCGGATCGACTGAATTTGTACGCGATCAACCCATGACATGTCAGTTCGAGGACCGCATCACATACGTTAACGTGAGTTTTTGCATGCCTTGCCTTGAATTCAGTTCTTTTGCTGGTACTGACACCCATAGTTTGGAATGGGTTCGTGCAGCACGACCCTGCATACCTGTACGTGCACTTGCGTAAGTCACCGAAAATTGCACAGATAAACACAGGTGTGATATTGCATGGCAACTTTGTAATGTATTTTTTTTTAATTTTGCAGTGTATTTTACAAAAATGTTTGTACTTAAAACAGTGTCCGTTACACCAGTGTCAGTTACATGTTGGGCACGGTTAATAGCGTAATCGCATTGTGCTATCTGCCGACATCTTCAACCAAAACTAGAGGAAATTGGCTGATAACAGGATTATGAACATATTCAGATTGGACAGATTGCTCAACGATTGGCTGACGGTTGAGGTTACAAATCATTTAAAAGAATGAATGCCGGGCGGGCCCTGTCCTTCATTTTTTGTAGCATTACAGATGACCCCACTCAGGTTGAAAGAGGAAAGTGCAGTGCTCCTTGTTTCATTTGGTCATTGATATACATGTTCTTTTACAGGGTGTCTCAAAAAACCAAACCCCGAGGAAAGGGCTTAATATGCTCAAACCATGAGATGTAATTCTAATGAATGAGGATCTCGAAAAAGTAGAAGCTGTATTCTTTCTAATGATACCTTGATGGTATCCATCTTGTCATGCATGACTGAACACCGCTGTATTAAAAATGTAGCATTATACTGTTATTTACACTGTGTTGGCAAAAATACACATAACTGCAAGAAATATAGAATTTGAAATCCTACACTGTGATGCAGTGAAGCTAATGTAGTTCATTCTTTTTTAATGAGTGTCATAGCAAAAATCAAATACAATACATCCCTAACAAAAGTTACCATGACTGTAAGCACGCCTTCCTGTTCGACAAATATAGGTATTTTAATAAATAACCTCAAGTTTTTGTGAAGGACAAACGCATTCCATTCTTAAGGTTGTAATTAAATTTAGTCTTGTTTTGTTCGACTTCAGCATGAAAACAATCCCACGTTTCCATCTTTGAGTTCAAGAATGTTTAAAAGTTTTCAACAAATATTCCCAGAAAGGTTTCTTTATACATTCTCAGTGGTCAACTTTAATTTGAGTTATTTTCAAAATGTTGGTAATTACAGTGTCATGTTTATTGAACTGAAAGCTCCATCATGTGAATTTGCACTTACCCTTCTTTTCAGGACTCAGAAGGGACTTTACCTTGTGTACAAATTTATATTCAATTTAGGAAGAGCTCGATCAATACTGAACACTCTATCTGAACATAAAAAACAGCCAATATATATAACATATAAAATATTTCTGTAAAAAAAACAAGTTCACTTCTTTTTGATATGTAACTGATCATGTTTATGTCAAAGATTTGTGTTTTCTTTACACAAGTAACCAGGACAAAAGATCAATTGTTCTTATCCCGTTATTATAACTAAAGTGACTGAAAGTAATCATGTGCATTTTATGTTGAGCACATCTTCCTGTTTTACAGACAGATATTGCAATGTTATGTGGGTGATGACCAAAAATAAGTGTTACTTGAATTGCACTATGCCCGTGTACGTGTGGTGTCAGATGAGATATTTTGAGTCCTAATTTGCTCTTTGTTCTGCAGTGTCTGGAAGATATTTGCCATAAAAATAGGGATGTTCTTGCATTGCTCCTTTTTTTCTTATTATTTCTTACCAAAAGAACTTTTGAGGAATGAACTGTAAATGGGAGTGATTACTTGAAATGCAGAATGTTAGCAGTCACATCCAGAGGCTTACCAACAAAGAACAGGGGTTGTATGATATGGCATTCAGATAAATTTCTGATGTGTGTTTTTCACTCTCCTGCAAGTTGAACTGATACTGGGATTTAAGAGCCATTACCCCAATTCAAGAGCCATAATTTGATATCAATCACTGTTGAACGGGGAATTGGCTACGCGTATGCCAATTCGATCATCCTGGCATTTAGTGCGTTTTCCAGGTCTTAACTTGAGAGATGAGAATTTGAGAGTGATGAGATGAGACGTCTTCTGAGGTACCTGTGACATAAATGTTCGGCATCTAGAAAACGATTAATCTTCACATGGACCAAACGAGAGCTATGTTGTATGAAATTTTAGTTTATGGCACGAGATAAATCTGTCACATGTAACCCTTCTTTCAAACATATTCTGAGCAAAGAAGGTTACCTGAACGTCAAACAATCACAATGGAATTCCAAAAGTTGATTCAACTTTCAGTTTAGATGATTGGGAAGTGACATAATGGTGAATTCATTACGTCACATATTATTAAACTTCAATATCTATAAAACTGTCATGATGACATCATCACAAGTCCACGGGCGTAATCTTATTGTTGATATTTCTGACGTCTTAGCTACTGGACGTTTGAGTCCAATTCGATTAATTTTTCCGTAACATCACTTCTTGTCGTATTACTAGAGAATCGTAAGTCTGATTAGACTTAACCCTAAAACATGAGCCGAGGATGTGTTTTTGGTGAAAACTCAAAATATGCTTGGATAGGGTCACCATGGGTCGAGAAATATCATCCAAAAGGTGCATACTTTTAATTGTCCTAAAACTAAAGATCTAAACTTGGTATATTTGTAGTAATAATGATTTCTCTTGGTTTGAATTAAAGGTCGCGTCATGGTTATGGGAGTATATGGCGTCATTTTAAAAGTGGCATCTTCAAAGTGAACATTGTTAAGTTTGTATAAAAAGTAAATCCCATTCCATTAGTTTTTGCATGTAGGTAGACTGGAATGTATCATAAGCCTAAGTGAAACTGATAAGGACGCCATCAAGATATCATCATGTGAATTTTGCATTTTTTCCTGCATATCTCATCGTTTCTATATCGTTTACCTCTCCACCAGTAAGCATGCATATTTGCTGATTGCGTTTTTCTCAAACTTAAAATTGCAGAAAAGCTCTAGGTTCTGTTGCAAACAGATGTCGAAGCTCTCGTTGTTCTTACTACTGTAACCATTAATATTCATTATTTGTATATTATGGTGCAAAATGTTAAAAAAAAAATGAAGATTGTGCCCAAACAACTTAAATATTGTATTGTGAAAAAAATGAATATCGTAGCCCTTTTTTTCATTAATTGGAACAAAATAGCGTACATCAGTCAATATGCGGGACCAATCCTTATTGGCCTACTAAAAATTGTGTGTTGGTTCCAAACCTAACGTCAAAAAATAAGTTCTGAGTTCTTTGTTCGGTTTTCTTTTTAATTTAAATTTTTGGGTTTTTTTTATTGTCGTTGCAGTGCATTTTTTCGAACCCTGATTTTTCACATAAAATTCTTCTGTAGCGTTTAGTGTCATTTTGCCATCAATTTTGAGAAATTCGGACTTGGTGGTCTGCCACAGCGGCTGTTTGCTCCAGCGGCTTGGTCAGCCAAATGTTCTGCTTTTTGGCTCAGTTGCCGTGTCGTTTTGATTGTTAAGAGTCATGGAGTTCAAACCAATTATACAATTTAGTTACAAATAAACACAGGTATTTCAGTCTTTTTTTAAATAAAATCAAGACGGCATGATTACGTCGTTTCTTTTGATGCAACAAAATGTAATATTCATAGTGAGCACTTTATGCAATTTAAGATGCCGATAGTTTGTTACATGTTGGAGACTACAGGCGTCATATTAATTAATCTGTTGAGTCGTCGTACTGTTGCTGTGGTACTCCTTCAAATGCCTACATTTTGCCTACAATACCTAGCCGGGATACCACTAAAGTGAAACAAAAGACTCTTAAAAATCTATTAGCAACTGGTTTTGTGACTTCCATATGATGTGGACATTATGTACAATCGTAGATAACCGCAAAACTAGTTTGTCAAAGGAAATGTTAAAAATCTGAAATCCAAAACTTTTATTATACACATTAACAAACGGGAACTAGTAAGTGTTTTACTTTGCACAGCACCCAGTGAATCATGTATATCGGATTATGGACTTGTTTTATTCACGTCGATCATCACCAAAACAAGTCGGTGACCGATAGAGTTGCCGTTACTAACGTGTCTCCCTTGGTCCATCCCTAAAGAACATGCTTTATGGATGCATCACGGACATCTGCCTCATATCCACCAATAAGGCTTAGTCGTTTGTCACTGTCGGTGATATTTACCCGCGAATGTATGCCAATATTGCGTGAAAATAACTTATTACAGTAAGGTAAGTGATGTGTGTGAGTGACAGCGCACACGAGCCAATCACAAACCACGTCAAGTCCAGCAGTCACCCTCAGGAACCCCTCAGCTAGTTTAAACGCACAGGCTGCTGCGTTGCTTCTCAGAAAAACGTTGCTCATTTTCAATTCTAAGTGGTTGCAAAGGGAGCAGATTTAATACACTCTGGGAGACAACTGTGATCAACATTACAAGGTAAGTACTGAATAATACCAGTGCGTTAAGGGAAAAAATGTAAGAACGAGTTCTTTGACTGTAGACGACCCCCCCAAAAAAATATAATTCAAATTACTCGAATCTGTTAGTGTTTGCACAGTCAAGCAAACATAAGCGCCAAATTGTGACCACGGGTCAGATTTCGGTTATAGGACTTGGACTATAAGTCTTTTATATTGGCTTGACTTTCGCACTTGGTTGAAGTATTGGCAAGTCATATATAGCATGGATGCTTTAGCAATCTCCAAAAGCGAATGGTTGGAGCATTGGAGCTATCTATGGACATTGTAAGATTCTGATTTGCTGGCGTCAATCCAATCCTCATTTTTTGGATGACGTTTTGCAAGAAACATGTAACAGTGAAATTATATCAAAAATCTGAAGTGAAAATATCCTAAATGTCAGCCTGACAGGAAGTAGTGAAACATTTCAAATACTTAACTATCAATTCAATAACAATAAAAAATGAACACGTTACACGGACGAGAAGTTGTCAAATCTGCATCGTTAGACTTCATTTCTTTATATGCTATTTAAAAGATGCTCAGTAACTCTTGTAAAACAATATGTTTTTAGCTCGTGTATTTTCTTCATTCTTGACTCCTAGAGACGATAAAACAATATGATGTTTTTATTATCCTTGGGATAGGCTTTGGTGATTTCTCTCGTTTTCCCTGTTAAAATATACACCTTAACAAACCTTTGACAAGCAGGCTTTAGATTGAAATTTACAGAAGTAAATCGATTCTTCTATAACGAGCAAAGTTTGCTCCAATACCACGGTAATCAAACAATTCAAAATGAAAAATAGACTTTGAGCCACAGTGCCACTCATTTTCTTGTCGTTAAGAGTTCAAAAGGCAAAAAGATCGATTCATTTAATAATAACTAAGTAAACTGCAAGTGCCTTTCTTCGTGTTGTGACGTTAAACCACTCGAATGACAGTGTTCTTATTGAGGGCACCGACGTCGGTATGGAATGGTCCGTAATGACCAGGGACAAATCAAGAGGGATGAGAAATTCTTTGTCTATGATACCGCAACACATGCTGTAAACTGAGTGGCCTTATATTGAATGACGTGACGCCACAAATGACAAAACATAAATAGATTTCTTCCTGAAAACATTTTCGTCTCAATACCACATTGAAAGACGTAGACAATGAACAGTACCTGTACTCACAGTCACACTAAAAGTATATCCTGCATTGATTTGTTTTTGAAGTCACCGTTTAAGAGTACCTTGTACGTGCAAAATGATCTTTACATCTTTTTTTAAAGATGAGATTTTGTTTTGCTACAAGCCTTTCACTCGCAATCCTCCTGGTTAAATCTATCAAACTTCGAGCTACCATTACTGGGCCAGCTCCCGCGAGTGGTGAAGGTCCTGGGTCACAGGTGTATCCGGTATGCTTCAAGGGACCTACTGGGACACCTGGAATTCCGGGCCTACCAGAAAATCAGGGTCAGTGTGGACCGGCAGGAGCAAAGGGCAATGCTGGGGTCAAGGGTGAGAAGGGTGAAATTGGCCCAATCGGCGCTGATGGGATCCCTGGCCCCAAAATTGACGACGGACTGGGCCTGCCCGGTAAGGTAGGTCCCAGAGGTCCACCTGGTTTAGTTGGAGCCATCGGGGAAGCAGGGATCAAAGGTCAAAAGGGCGAGCCGGGGGAGACTCCTGATAACCTTACCAAGAGGGTAGCATTCACTGTCACACGAGTAACCGTCTTAGATACATCTGCAATTGGTTACACCCGTTTGCCGTTCGAGAAGGCCGATACGCTTTTGCCGGTTACGAACTTTGATCTTGCGACCGGAACATTCACCTGTATTGTGCCAGGAGCCCACCTGTTTTTGTTTTCTGTAATCAAACATTCCTCAGTCAGCGGCCTCTGGGTTCATCTTAGGAAAAACGATGGCTGGGTTGTATCTGTCAGTAGCAGTGGCTCAAGGAACTATGAGCAGGTGTCTGGGAGGGCAGTGCTGGCTCTGCAGAGAGGAGACACAGTGTATTGGTAGGGCAGAGAGTTCTTCAGCCAATCACTAAACCTCATTCAATGGATTTCTAATTTTCGCCAAATAAACCAGAAAATGTACGTACTAAATATACATAATTGCCTGTCTTGCTTTGTCGGGTGCAAATGTTTAGTACGGAAACAGCGGTCTCAGTAATTTTTTGAAACTCATTGCTTTTGCTCAGCAAATATTTATCAAATGCAGTTGTCCATTGTTTTGGTACTTTCAACCTAATTGTTACTTTGTCCCAGTCGCCACGCGAGAAAATTATGTGTTTACTGAAACAAATTGAAATCATATAAATTAACATAAAAACCAATCGAACACTTTTAAAAAGTACATCATGAGTCATGATTGCTCCTCAAAAATTAGAAAGAGTAGTTCTAAGCTAATTCATGTCGATCACAACTGTTTATTTAAACTTTATTTATAAACAAATCTTGTTTTTGATGACGTCATCATGAAGTCATTTTCCTGACATCAACCACAATCTTATATCTTTACTACTCTAGACACTGTGCATACAACTTACACCGAATTGACGTTTAGGAAGATTGTCCGCATAAAATGCTAAAACGAAGACTGTTTTGCTTTTAGCAAAAAAATCACTGCTGTCTTGAGAGTAAGGAGAACAGGCAACTCTGTTTTTGTTTCTCTCTCTCTGTTTTTTTGAAGAGGAAACGGTTTGGTGGCCCTTTCTTTGTCTCACAGAATCCAAATGACACTTTTTGTGTGTACATTGAAACGTTTTCCATAATGATGAATTCGATTACTTGAGGTTGGCCACGTTCTGTTCTCGTCAAATTCAAGCTAATCCCAAATTCGGGACTCCAATCCATCCTGTCAGACACACAAAGAATCCGTAAATGCTTAGGAAGTACTGAGTGCAGCGGCAGTTGAATGCCATTACAGCAGGTTTCTTCTTTTAGTCATAATTAGCTGTGTCGGTATAAAATAATTGTTTTCCTGCTATTATTCTGCTTTTGTGATTGAGCCACTTTCCTCAATACAAGAACAGAAACGCCACAAAACTCCTTTCTTAACAAAAATCTAAAAACCAGCAGTGATAGAGTGCTGGATTGTTTTGGAGATACCTTTAGGACTAAGAGGGAAACTAATGCATGATTGCAAGATACCCTGTTATTAAAGTCTTTGCACCTGTTGTGGTCATGGGTCGGGGAAAAATGAGGAAATTGAAGGTATTTAATGCATTGCCCTTACGTCCCTCTTCGCTGCAACTTCAAATCTCTCCCCATCCACTCGGGATATAAATTCAGAGACCTATTCTGAGATTGTACCTGCTATTGAATGACCCCAAGCCTGTTATTAAACTGATAATTACATCGTTGCCATAAGTATGCTGCCTTTAGTCTTTCGATGTCAAATGAATATAAATAACACCCAATTATTAACCTACTCTAAATACATCCCAACAAATTACCAGGCTTAAATTTAACCCAAGCGAGGATGAAACTGCAACTACTCAATAGTTTAGGTTGTTTCAACCTAATTGCGGTGATTGAAATTAATTTCTGGGTTGTTTTAACCAAACAGCAGTTAATATCCACTAATGTTTGGGTGAAAACTGCAACAGGGAGTACTTCTCAGCCCAAAGTTCTGTTAACACAGCCCATAAATGGGTAGTTGCATTTTTCACCCTTCCTTAGGTTATAATTTAACCTAGGCAGTTTTTCAGTGCAGAGAGAATTAACGCCCCCTTTACATTGATCCCCAAGAACGACCCTGTAACACCACTATTTTGCGGAAGGATTCAAACAAATAATATAATTTTAGATGAGAATACCTTTACATAATGTACACTATATTTTGAAAAACTTGTTACTTTATTTTTTCATCTGATATCACCAATTTACTATATTTAAAATGCAGAAAAAATGTATCAACTGGACAAAATGTTTGCTGCCCTGGTTTTTAAAGACGATGTTAATTTCAATTTGCAATTGTAACTTCACGAACAAATATATTTTGGCGGAATCCTCCCCTGGACTCACCAACGTTGCCGTCCACCTGGGGTAGGCGACTTCCTTTGGGCGAACCTGGGAAGGGGACGTACCCTGAGTAGGGCCTCGGCCGTCCAACGAGCGGTCTAATAAGAAGGCCGGGGGAGCAGACTCGTTGTGGGGCAGTCTACCACCAGGCACCAGGGCACACTCTCACGCGCTCACACCACACATGGACAAGGGGGTCGGGTACAAATAACCAACGGATCAAGTCAATACATTTCGGGATAGACCGATGTATTTATTTATTAGACACGTAGGTGCTCCCTAATCAGGTGTCTTTTCTGCTTCTGGGTAGCGGACAACTCAACAATAACTAACAGGGCACATTCCTCCTTCTTGCCTCTACTTAAGGGTTCAACTCACCCTGGTACACGGCTCGGCTCAGCTTCACGCGGTGCAAACCCAGTCACCAGAGCACGAACGCGGAGGATGGGCACAAGAAGAGCGGGAAAGTGCGGCGCAGCGTCAGCAAGCGTGCAGCCCGAAAGAGCGCTGGGACAGAAGAGGCAGACCGCACGCAAGTCACGCGCTTATATACCCGCGCCGGGTACCAACGCCCTACGCAATTTGTGCGTAACACGGCGAGCTTGAGCACGTGCACCAGCGTCCATAAACTTGTCTAATGCGTAACACTGTCTAATAATTAACTGTTCCGCTACAATATGTTCTGCACGCTTAATATTAATCAAAGGATCAGCTACAAGTTAACGTGCTGTGAGTAGATAAGCGGTCGGTTGTAGGATGGCTTATACGTAGGCGTGATTGCTAAAATATTGCTTATCTGTGACTGTTTCTGTACTGATAATAGGCAACTGAATTTTCAATGGCATTTTTTTATAAGTGAGAACGTTTACTGTAGAAAGAAGTATTTTATGTATTAGTGTGCAAAATGTTGTTGAAAATTGTGGCATATCTAGGTCTAAGCAGAGGGTCAGTGCCCTCCCCTTGACAACTTACATCCTTATTAGGCTTTCCAAAAGTAGCTCGTTAAAGATCAGTGTTTACATAGGCTGTGTAATCGCGTATAAGTCATAATTGTTGAATTTTACTCGAGTAGAGGGGACCTCTCACCGATGCCTAAATTTGTCATTACTAAAACGATACGTCGTCATATGTCAAGATATTATTCTTCATATCATGTAGTCTCTTTTAATATTGCTACACATGTGAAAGGCCTACCAGTCACGATTAAAGACAAAGGAGAGTTTAAATGATCAAGATGGAAGGGATTTCTATTTAGTCTACTGGCAAGACGTTTTGTTAATGCCCCCCGACTTTCCACAGATGATAGTGTGGTTTAACTATATGTGACCTGCTACTTTGAACGGAATATGCATTGCTAGTAGAATTAAACTTACCCTGTGCAGCTGAATATTGCTGCAGCACACAACCAGTTACCGCCCTTCTTGTTTAGTCCTCACCATGATTGGTATTAAGACATTCTGTAAAAGATATGACCAGCAAAGTACTCTCCTAATCCACCAATGTATTTCCAGCTTAAGCGTGGAATTTGCACATTTGAAGCAACATTTGAGACGGAGAGACAACCTATTTTTAATTAAATATTCAACATTCAACTTCGTGAATATTTACACCTGGTCACTCGTAACGCGCAGTAGTAACGGTATAAAACGAAATAACACTAAAAGGACAAACGTGCTCCATAATGCAATAAGGAGACAGGAGAGCTAGGAGGTTTTGTGAGCTCAAATACTCAAGTTATATACTTAAGTATTACAAACGTAAACAAATAACAGATTCGAACATGGTTGTATATAACTGTGGCTTGTATAAATACAAACACTCGTTCGTCAACCTACCTTCATTTTCATATACAGAAACACAGAATTTCTGCCTATCAATTTAACATTACTCTGGTCCCAAACCTTGGAATATTCTACCATCCTCACTAAGATTTTCAAGATCATATACCATCTTTAAATGGCAACTTAAAATCTTTCTCATGTAAAGCAATACAATTTTCATTGTCACAATGACTGAAGGAGGATTTGATCCGGAGGAAATACCTATGTTGGAAGATCAAGATCAAGAAATAAACGACCAAAATTTTGTCGACGATAACTTATATTCAGATTGACAAGAAACGTCCTTTATAGAAGGTGCAAATGAACCTGGATGGGACAAAACACCGACTTCATTAAATAAACTAAAAATAAAACCGATGGACCAAAATTGACGATAAACCCCAGACCCGTAATAATACCCAAGGGTGATACATTAGAAAGAGGGGGAGCTACATTAATTACTAATCCAATTATAGACAACTTTTACCGATATTTTAAACTTGCCGAAAGAAAAGATGTACCATCAAAGCCCCAATACGAAAATTTTGATGACCGCGAATGCAAATGTTTATTTTTTTAAAAAGAAGATATGTACGGCGATGTGCTATTAACTGACAAAAGAAACCCATATGTAGTTATCGGTCTTAAAACAATCGTAGAAAACGCTAAAGCTACTGGTTATATCGGCAAAGAAGGAAACAAAGACACCATGTCAGCACAAGATTTTATTAGATACAACTTAGGATTTACAAATTATGGAATATCGGTGAAAAAAGCTAAATCAAAGTTTAAATCCATCCAACCTGAGAACACTACCATAGAAGAGCTTCCCGAAACAGCCTACCAAGTCAGTAACATTGTAGAAGAGCCAAGATGTAGACGTTCAAACAGAAGGATTAAACTATAGAGAGCTTTTAGGATTAGACAAACATCTTCAAACGACTAGAGGACAGGTACGATTAAACGAAGCTAAAATTGCAGAAATTAAAGAAGAAATAAGTCGTCTCGAGACTTCTGAAGATACAGGTCGTTTGCGTGACTTGCAATATCAACTCGAAGGACTACAAACTCTAAGAGACATATTAAACGGTCAACTCAAAAGCCAAATAACGCAAATTAAAGAATTAATTAGTTATGCTTTAGAGTCGGATGACACCCTAAGTGATAAAATTCG